ATGTTAGAAATACTAGCCACCCTATTTAAGAGGTGTCTTCTGACGGGAAGGGTACCAGAGTCTTGGAAGAACGCTAACATCATCTTAATACATAAGAAAGGAGATGACAAGGAGTTGAAGAATTACAGGCCGATCAGCTTGCTCTTTGTAGTATACAAGCAATTTACAAAGGTAATTGCTAACATAGTAAATAAAACATTAGAATTCAATCAACCAAAGGAACAAGCACAATTTCGAACACGCTACTCAACAATTGACCACATTCATACTGTCCATCAGGTAATAGAGAAATACTCAGAATATAACCAATCACTATACATAGCCTTCATAGATTACGAGAAGGCATTTGATTCAGTAAAAATATCAGCCGTCATGCAGACACTGCGGAATCAGGGCGTAGATGAAGTATATATAAACATTCAGGAAGAAATCTACAGGGGATCAACTGCTACCATAGTGCTTCATAAAGAAAGCAACAGAATACCAATCAAGAAGGGTGTAAGGCAGGGGGACACAATCTCCCCAATGCTATTTACCGCGTGCTTAAAGGAGGTTTTTAGAAGCCTAGAATGGGAACGGTTAGGGATAAGAGTTAATGGAAAATACCTTAGTAACCTGCGCTTCGCCGATGACATTGCATTGCTGAGTAACTCAGGAACGAATTGCAACTCATGATTACGGAGCTAGACAAGAAAAGCAGAAAGGTGGGTCTTAAAATTAATCTACAGAAAACGAACGTAATGTACAACAACCTTGGAAAAGAGCAGCGCTTCAAGATAGGTAATAGTGCACTTCAAGTTGTAAAAGACTATGTCTACTTAGTGCAGGTAATAACCACGGAGCCGAACCAAGAGATTGAAGTAACTACAAAAATAAGAATGGGGTGGAGCAGATTTGGCAAGCACTCTCAAATTATGACAGGTAGATTGCCAGTATCCCTCAAGAGGAAGGTATATAACAGCTGTATCTTGCCGGTACTAGCTACGGAGCAAAAACCTGGAGACTTACAAAGAGGGTTCAGCTTAAATTGAGGACGACGCAGCGAGCAATGGAAAGAAAAATGGTAGGTGTAAGCTTAAGAGACAAGAAGAGCAGAGTGGATTAGGGGACAAACGGCGGTCAATGATATCATAGTTGAAATAAAGAAGAGGTAATGGACATGGGCCGGGCATGTAGTGCGTAGACAGAATAACCACTGGTCATTAAGGGTAACTAACTGGATTCCCAGAGAAGGGAAGCGGGTTAGGGGGAGACAGAAGGTTAGGTGGGCAGATGAGATTAAGAAGTTTGCGGGTATAAATTGGCAGCAGCAAGCACAGGACCAGATTGACTGGCGGAACATGGGAGAGGCCTTTGTCCTGCAGTGGACGTAGTCAGGCTCATGATGATGACGACGATGAATACGCAACGATAACGTAAGCCAACATATGGTCGTATTATGCTTCCTATTTTTCTCCGGTAAGTAGCCGGCCGTGTGGTGTTAGATGCAGAGGCAGATAATACGTGTAAAAGTACGTTATTTTTTAAATAGTCCTTCAGGAACTTCTTGAGGAGTTGCCAGTGCCGTAATTTTTAGTCGCACCTGTGAACTTCATGATATATTGCAGACAAGAACACTTCGGCAGCAGGGTTACTTACCCAGTCTGCCCTGAAAGCAGTATACCACGCACTTAAGCTCTTGCCGCACCTGACCCACTGCTGCATCTATCTATATGGTATAGCACACGCTTACTTGTGTCTACAGTGTGAGTTGCGGAAAGGAAGGTGCAGGCTATTAAAAAAATGTACAAACTTGTGAGGTGAGGACATGGTCATATCTGAGTTAGAAGGCTGCCATTACAGTTCTTTTTAGGGCGAAAGAAAAATTAAATCCCGCTTGAAGCATGCAGCCAAAATTCACTTTGCATAATAATAGACGCTTCAGGAAATGCCTATTCGGCGAATATTCCCAGCGCAAATTTTCACTGCAAAATTTATCAGCGGATCCTTTAAAAAACATTTTCCATTCTCACCGGTTGCTAGTGATTATGTGGGTAGCGGTGAGTTTCAAAACGGCACTGCATGAGCTCACCTCTCCGTTCATAGTGTGGTGTTGCTGGCTCAGCTCTTAGTATCGCCGGCCTTGCAACTTAGGATGGCATAGGAGTCTCTAAGCTGGTCTGGAGCATACGTCGGCGAAAATTGTGGAGCTCACTCAGACTGGCTCATGAGAGGTAGTTTACACTCAGAGCTCACGAGGATTCATACTTGCCAGAATTTGCTTGAGCTGGACTGACAAAGAATCACACTCATGAAAGTTTTCTTCTTAAGCAAGACTTACTCAGACTTCGATTATCCAGGTTATCACAGTGAGACTTACAGCACATTCTAAGTTTGAATACGACCGAGTGAGTCAACTCATGAGTCGGCTTGCCTAGAATTACCTTGTTCGACCATATTGTAAATGTTATTTAGTTTGAATGAATTGCATCATTACTGAGTTCTTCGGTCCCTTTTCCATATTACCTTTGAATAGGAGATATGAGCTTCTGCAAACGAGTAAATATATTTTTCTTGAAAGAGGTGAAAACTTAAAATATATTCATGAAGAACTTCCTCTGAGTGTTTGCAAGGGAAAGGGTGGTCGAGGCACCTGCCTAAGTAGTTCAACCCTCTGGTCAGCAACTCTTGGAATGTTGTGTTAGCGGTAGTGCTTTACATTATGGGTATGTACACGTGTGTATCAACGTGAATACATGTAAGGCTGATAGTAATGCTGAAGATTAATTTTCGATACGACCATACTTCGGCAAAAAGAGTAAAATTCACGGAGGCTCACTCACTCACGAAATACAATTTGTGGTTTGGAGTCAGTCGGGCTCAGTCTCACAAACGTTTTACTAAGTTGAACTCAACGGGACTTGCTAAGGCTCTCACTCACATCCCGATCTGAGTTTGAGTGAGTACGAATCCGATGACTCATGAATGATTAAGCTGACACATGGTCTGCAGCAGCTGGTTATTTTGTGAAGTAGATAATTATTTAGACACCAGTTCGATTTAGTGCGGCGACGAACGCTAGGGGGAGCGTTGTAATAAAATCCGTTCGCTGTTGGCACGCGCTCGGAGTCGCCGGATGGATAAGGCTGCACAGCGGAGAGAGCGCAAGGCGGCAGCAGCGCGCGCTCGCAGACAGAATCCCGATGTGCGAGCGCGCGAGGCAAGGGACATCGCAAGCCATCCATCGTCTAATAACAAATAAAAGTTGATTTGTGTATATACACACACATCGTTTCTTACGTCTTTACATGATGATCGACTGGGCGAATTACACGGAAGATTCACAGTTTACCGATGAATCCCTCCGGAGCTTCGCCCATTCATCATAATTCACCCCGTGAATGTGCCGTAATTTTTTACTCAAGGTCAGCAGACCATGACTGCAAGCAGACTTTCTGTTGAAAGCGGAACCAAACAGCGTCCCACAAACAGGTTGGTAGGACAGCGGGACTCATGGCACCAAACCAGGACATGTACGCCTAAATCGAGCCGTCTAGTCAGTTTATATCGCGCGTATTATTTGAGGCATTATATGCGAATGGTTTAGCCTTCCAGTCCTATGCTTCACAATGCTGTTGATACTTGTAAGGCTGTAAGGCTGATACTTGCAATGCTGTTGATACTTGCAAGGCGGGAAGGCCTTGTTAAAAATAGTTATATTTAGTGTTATGCTTCAGATGTATACATAGTACGGAGAATTCTAGGTAAAACGTGCTTTGAGTGTGCACTCAGACGAAGCACAGGAACGTATTTCATGATGCCACCCTTGCATCAACGTGAGTGCAGATGCCACAGCAAGTCGTTCCCGTGTCCTACTCAGTGAAGCGAATGCATTACAAGCCGGGAGATGTAGTCCCAGCTTTTATACTTGGCACAAAAAAGCTTTTAAGAAAGTGCGTGCCTCCGAATTCTAACAGTGGCGACAATACCAGGAGCCGTTCGACCGCGACAGAGTCCACACGCGTGCCTTCTCTCTCCCTCAAAGGCGCCGCTGCTGCGCTGACCGATGCCTTCGCATCTATCGGCGAGCGAACTCAAGAAACATCGAGAAGCAAAGCGCCTGTCACTCACTGGTTGTGTCACTGGTCGCGGAGAGTGCGAGAAAAGTCTCGCTCCTTCCCCAGCTTTGGCTGCGCGATGCGCCCACGAACCTTCCAGAACCCAGGGTTAACATAAAGCCAGAAGTCGAGGGAGTCGTAAGGAGAGATGAAAAAAGTTTACCACCTGCAGGGAAAGGCTTCTGTTACAAGCGGGAAAAAAGTGTGTGTGTGTACCGCCTATGGGTGAAGACGTGTTCTGCCGTCGCAGCGCGTAAGTAGCCGACGTGTTACCAGTTAGGAAGATTTGTTATTGAAGTGCGGATCTTTATTTGATGATGTGAGAGTTTCCGGTGGGACAACAACAACAACAACAACAACAACAACAATAAATGTGAAATAAATTGTGAAAAAAAAACAGTGGGGCGACAACGAGCGCCGCACTTCGAGTGAGTGTTTCCTTGCACAGAAATATTAGAGCTTTGTTGCAAGAACTTTGAACTGAATTCGTTTGACGAACATTTTGGTCTTCAAATGTCTTGGTTAAAGAATGCATGAGATTGCATTGTAGCGCATGTTGTTTGTGGCCTTTGTTTTGTGTGTATCTTATTGTGTTGAATAGCACATTGTTTTGAGCATCTTGTGATTGGTCACGTATTGGAGTATTGCAGAGTGTTCATGTTTGTGCGTGTGTTGTTCATTCTGCCGTAATGGAGAATATATTTCTGAATATACAAGGAAGAAAAAATAAGTGCATATATGATACACTGGTAGTTCTTTATCAGCCGCCTTCACTACTACATCGTTTACAGAAGCGGTTCTAAAATAGGGTTCCGTGTAGTCGTTTTAGGAGTTTTGTGACGCCATCTCCTACAAAAAAAAGTTGATTGAAGCAATTCCCTCCTATTCCCAGTGCCAGACACTGCTCCAGGAGCCTCAGCAACATTATGAATGAAATCACCTCAACTTCCTCAACGCTTCAATTAAAGACCCAACATGCTAAATCAGGTGAGTAGTGCAGGGGTGAAATAGCATTATCACCCAGTGGCCTTTCACTCATAAAATAGAGTGGAATATAACTTATACACAATTGTAACGCTCATCTTTGCTGCTTTAAAGATAGCTAGCGAAACTATTGTGCCTAAATTGCTACAAACTGCGTGTTGTGGAGCAGATTTCTCGCGCTATGACGCAGAAAACGTAAACCCTTTTCTATTGATTTGAACAGCCGCAGTTGGTATAACTAGAAGCTCCCGTACAGGTTCATGGGGATAAGTACCGCTACACGTAAAACAAATGTGCAGCACAGAGAAGCGCATTTGACAATTTTGAAAGGAACCTAAATGCTTGGTGACGTCGCCATACCTGCTCCCACTGGCCCAATAATTAAAGATTACACCCGTACCACTAAAAACAAACCACTAAATAATGAAGGCGTTGTATGGTCGTATTTTCGCTTAAAGTTTGGCAGAAACTCCACCGTAACGGCCACTGTTCGGAGTTTTATCATGTTACCTGCCGCGCAAAACTCACTCGCAATGTTATTTGAAATCTAATTTTTCATTGTTTTTATGCAGTGAATAGGCGTATTCATGTCAATAATAGGCTCGTATTGAAGTTTTGCCTTTTAACCCCTGGAAGCTTTGTCGTTGCTATAGGATGCCTAGAACGAGTGATAACCATTTTTCTTTGCTTTTGCCGATGACAGCCACCTGTATGCATACCTTAATGGGAGCTAGAGATGGACACACCCTGGCAAGAAATAAACAAATCTAGTCAATGTGGATTTTCCAGACATCACCTTGTAAGGCAATTGTCCCAGGAAGAACATTCATTTTCACCACTCAAAGACGGGCACAATCCTAGTATGTCACTTGAGAATGATGAGTTAAAGGGTTAAAAGAAAGCCCTAATGTTCCCACCGGACGCTAGTGCAACGTGCATGCCCAGCGTTTACCACAGTGCTGGATGTTCGCGTTGCACATGGGATCAGTATAGCGAGTGTACAAGTAATACGTACGTTTACTGCTTTCAAGTCTAAGCTGTGAGAGTCAGATGGTAGGCTTGTACTGAATCCTAAGTCACCGTGACTTCATTGCTATAAAACACCTTAACTCAATTTTCATGCCATAAAAGAGATCCGACAGATTTCTTACGCATCCTAATGACCTAGGCTCTTAAGTAAGCCTATGATGCACTCGACAGCTCAACGTCATACTGTTTTTAAAGTAAGCTTAGCTAAGAAAAGCTCCCATTTCTGTACTCACGATACAGAGAAACTTGTTGAAATATAATAGACTCACCCGTTTCGGTCTCGTAAGGGCAATATTCGAAAAAGAACAAAGCACCACTGCAAAGTCTTGTCAATGCTAAAACTCACCGCAATCAACAACGCCAGCTAGCATTTTTCTGAATGCCACTGATAGGAATTCGTAGCCGGAGGCATTGTACTCAAACGTCATTAGATTCTGAGCCGGGGCCATAAGGTAATCGAGCCAGTTGGCTCGCGGCACTTTCGTCACTAGGGCATTGACTTCTAAGGCCACTCGTCCATTAAAATGTGCACCCGAACCTAATTGCAGGTGATTCTCGTGTTTCGGTCGTGTAAAAAATGCAGGCGCATGTAAACTGCATACTGGGATGAATTAGACCAGCATGCAGCTCCACTTACTGATTGTTCTCGAGAAGTCCGTTACCTCTCAATAGTAAAAACTGCTAGCTTGGAAAGGCACACATAATGAGGCGTCATTAATGCGCAACGATGGCGGGTGCCTGTCATTAAGGCGGCTGCAGACATCACTTTTACTTTTTTCCCTATCGTTACACAAATGGGATATAGTGAGACTTCATCGGAGCTCACACAGTTTCCATTTGCTTTTTTCGCGCATTGGGATCATGTAGCTGTGCTGAAGGATCTTGAATGTACAGTAACTCGTTATGTACCTCTAAAGAGCTGTATAATGATCAAGATTTTCCTGGGCACTATAAATGATACCGGTTATATCATCTGCTATAGCATCCATGCCAAAGACAGAAGTGGGTTGGTTCGAAGGGGTGTGCCTCCTTTAATATACGTTCCACTATGGGCCTCTTTTATTATACGTTTAGCGGTGAGATGTACTGTTCGAGACACAAACTGGAGGTGTTTGTCAAGCACGCCGTGTTACTTCAAACGGCACAAAAAGAACGGACATGGTTCAAAGTGCACTCTGCACGTACATTTTGGCCCCACTTCGCTCGACTACCTATTGCTGCATGGGATCATTTTGCTGAACAGAGTATAGCACTTTTGACGAGTAACTCGACTTCGCACCTTCCGATAACCACGCCAAAGGTACAATTTTGTTTGCTCACAATGAGTAGAAATTATATGGAATGGCACATGCCCTTCAGGCCATTTATATAAACAAAAATAGAACATTGTTGACTTCGTAATAAATAATTTTAATTATACTTATTTATGTATAATTACCAAACGTGTTCAAATTATGACACTACCCCCCGTGTCATTCTTGTAGGAGAAATACGGCTGCCTTGGAAAGAGGTGTGCAGTTGGAGGCATGCTTTCTTTTCGTTGAAAATAAAATAGTTTTTCTCAGTTTTATCTCCCCTTGGAAAGAACTAAGTAAATTGGACATATCTATACAACCTCTATCATACTTTTTAGCTAAAGAGGGTTAATGCTCAATTGGCTTGTTGAATACATCAAAGTAGATGGATTCGTGAAACAAAGCCACGTTCACATAAAAGGGCGCGAATTGCGCTTTTACCCGTTTCCATTCTACCCATCCTTGTCTACTTACCTTTTTTTTCGTAAAGTCTTGCTTACATGTTTGCTAGATTAAGCCAATGAGAAGTTGTAGATGGTGAATATTTATTTATTTATTCACAATACTGCCAGTCTCCAAAGAGACCATAGCAGGTGGGTACTACAGTATACAGTTACAAAGAGCACTTAACACTTTCAGGATCGTAAATTGGTAAATAATGTGTAAAAATACAAATCAGCAACCTTGAAGCATACAATTAGCACTTATGCACACCATACACACCAAATACAAGTGAATGCTGGTTTGCATGTCACAGAAAATCAGACATATCAAGGACGCTAAAAGACGTTATTTTCAATTCTTGATAAGAAATAGCACAATGACTGGGCATTAGTGGTGAAAGCGGTTAACAAATTCCATTCGTGGATGGCAACTGGAAAAAAAGAGTATTTAAACGCATCATTGTTACATTTATATTCTAATAGAGTATTTGTATGTTGGTGCCGGGTAGCTCGTGTTTGCGAATATTCAACGTAGTTTGAGACATCTATTTTGAAATAATCCTGTAGGAGTTGATAAAAAAATTTGAAACGTGCCTGCTTCGCCCGTGTTTCGAGCGTGGGAAGCCCAGAAACAGCTAGAAGGCTAGTGGGTGAATCAGCCAGTTTAAATTTGTTATGTATGAATCTTATGGCCTTCCTTTGTACCTTTTCTATTTTTTTATGTTAGTCACGGTATGAGAAAACCATACAATATTTCCATATTCAAGGATTGGCCTAATGAATGTTTTGTAGGCTAGTAGTTTCGTCGAGGTGAGTGCCAGATGGAGCGATCGGCGAATAAAAATAGTTTTTGCATAGCAGAAGAAGTAACATTATCAATGTGAGCGTCCCACCTTAGATCTGATGTTATTGTTAAGCCTAGATATTTATGTCTCTGTACATTCGTGAGAGCAGCACCATTTATGTTATAGCGAAAGTTAGAGGGTGCTTTTTTCCGTGTTATCGTCATGCATGCAGATTTTTTTACGTTGATTGTCATCTGCCAACGAGAGCACCATTCTGCAATATATTAAGTGTACTGAAGGTGCACCTTAGCTGTTACCTTATTCACAATCATTCATAAACGTGTCTGGTGGTCGTACGTTCATCATCAATGTGTTCTCATTCTTCTTCGGCTTAGGTGAAGTCAACTACAAGATCTTGTCCAAAGGTTAAAACCTTCAAGACCTGTCTGCAAAATTTCGTTTGTCGCCCGAGCGAACTCGAAGGCGGTGGTGAGGCATGTTTTTGAGGTTGATTTGCAATGCTAGCAATTAAATTTGTTGTTTTTAGGACAGGAACTGCTTGCCAGTGTAGCGCTTTAATTATTAGCATTATTGCTAAGAAGCGTTAATCAACCTGGCATAAATTACGTGTTAATGTTCGTGTTACAGGTAATATATTCAAAACAATGTGCATACTTACCTTCAAAGCTTAAGCGAAATTGCAACTCTACTTTTTGAACTGTAAGTTCCGAAGTTGTTTTCAACGATGAATCATTCTTTGAAAAGTTCCAGAGCCCTCTTGCATGGCGTTTCTCATAATCATATGGTGCTTTTGGGACGTTAAACCCCATAGACCATTCTTTGAAAAGAGTTTCTTCGGCTCGTTTCTTAGACAAAATTGAGGGAATTCATGAGACAATCAGGTAACTGAAAACATACAGATGGTGAGCCGTGGTTGGTCGTTGTAATACTGAATAGAGATTCTGACCTCGGACGTTACAGCGATGAGGTTGACTTGCTTGTGCGCTGCGAGTGTGAATTGCTGCTGGCGTCTTCCTAGCGCAATGGGCACACGAGTAATAGGTGTGCCAGTGTCTCTGATATGAATGAATGAATGAATGAATGAATGAGAAACTTTTTATGGGCGACGCTCCTTTGAGACTAGGCAGAATTGTCCACTGTCCATCACGCCGCACAAAACCGATATCAATAGTGAACACCTGCACAACGAAGATTACGAACATCTGTGTGAAGAAAAAAACTACTTTGTGTGCACATCAATCAAGTGTATGACAGCCTAATACATTATCATTTGCGCTATTCTCCTGTCCATTCGTCCATCTGTCCGAATGTGGAGACGACCATCTGTCTGTGTTTTATACCAGTTGGCGACTACGACGTAGAAATTTGAGACTTTAGGACCCAGCTTCGCCAATTGTTATGGTTCACTTTGTGCAAATTCGTATATTTTCGCCCTGGTGAAAGGGAAGAGATACAGAAAAAAGAATGGGGATGATACATCACATATTGGGCTGTTGCAAGGGCTGGGTTGGTGAAAAAATGTAAATCCATTGCATGTCTTAGACAATGATGACGACAAGCTTACACGATTTCACTACATGTCCCGTCGGGGGAACAGCGTGTTGTACTGCAATACCGAACACTGATGGTGTTCAGCGCCTTTGGCACTCTTGGGGCGAACACGCTAAGTACTTGGATGTGGCCATCAACTCTCGCGGCAATACTCATCTTGAGCGGCTGTTTTCCCCGGCGAGGTGAATATGGCACCCGACTGATGACCCTGAGGTCATGGTACCTGGTCTGGCCCACGCTTCTTGTATTTTCGATCGAGGACAAGATGGTAGAGGCCATTGTGTTTAGATCTGGGTGCACGTTGAAAAAACTCCATGGGGAGAAATTTCTGAACACCTGCACTACGGCGTCTCTTGTAATAATGTCTCGGTTTCAGGAAGATAAACTTGAACACTTATTCTTATATAATTAATAATAAAAATATTGCTAATATTATTCTTATCAGCCACTGTCTGTTTTCGCGAATGGCCCGCCCTATTCACCTTCAGCGAGCTTAGATGTCAAACCCACGTAAAGGGGTGCTTGCTGCGTTTGTACCAGGAGGAGTACAGCTACGCTGAATAAATAGCAGCTTTGCCACAAAAACGTAGTTGTTCATGCGATGGCAAAAAATTGCAATGCTCAAGGAATTAAAGTTAGTAAAGAACGCTTTTGGTTCCGATGTCATGTAACTGTACATAATGCTGGTTTGAGCGAGTGCGGCCACTCGAGGGAGAGAAGTCCTCCTGCGGTCTCTTGTCTCAACACAAAATGAAAACACACCATGTACACGAGTCACCTAGTGAGGTCGATCGACAAAGAACATGCGTTTGGATTCGCTACCGCACTTTGGTTGCAAGCCAGGTGGCGCACATAAAAAATTCTTTATTTCGGTTTACTTATTTGGGGATTTTATTTATATATACTTGTGTGATGGTGTTCTCGAAATGTATACATTATCTGGATTTTATTGTGTGAGTGACGACAACGTCCGTAATAAAATAGCGAGGCTTTCTGTTTTTTTTCCACTTTATAGAAGAACACATGAAAAGAGCTTTTTAAAAAAAATAAAAAAAATAAACGAAGTGATTCTTTATTTCAACCACTTAAACCTGCCAAGGTAATATTCTAAACACAGTCGAAGGGTGTTTTGTGGGTATTTTCCCGCATTCATGCTGTCTTGCTTTCTTCTGGAATGCTCTCCTTGAACAAAACAATCACGTGAAAGTGTAACTTACCCGTCGCCCATGCAAGCAAAACTCTTCGCTAACGAAATGTTCATTGTAGGAATCAACCAATAAATCATTAAACACAATCGCAATTGAATGGGTAATATAGCTTAAGCACTTTTTCGTTTCAATTGTTTTGGTATGCTTATTAGGAACACTGATTTCTGTCTGATTATATCATACAATGCGCGCAGGGTCATGCACACTCATTTACTCGCAGTTTTCTGGGAGGAGACAGATAGTCTCATTTCCTGTAAAATAGCTCTTCAACCACGTGCTGTTTCATTTAAAGTGTGCTGGAAGACGACAAATCGCCGTTATTTTGTGCTCAAGTTCACATTCCCTTCGTTTCACAAGTAGTATTAGGCAGGGCGTGCTGGCGTTCCATTTTTATAGCACGAGTCAACCACGCTGAGTGGAAACTGATAGTAACGGTTCGTCTACAGTGTCCACAGATATGTTATAACATTGATCTATAGTAAAGAAGTGTATGCATAAAGGCTCGTTTTTTTATCAAAATGTTATTTAGATCTAACAGACAATCATGTAAAAGAAGGCATAGAGAATGTTATTAGAAGCGATTGTAATGTAAATGCGAAGAAAGAAAGGAGGATGAAAAGATAACTTGCCATGGGCAGGGACTGAACCTGCGACCATCAAATAAAATTGTGATGCTCTAAAAACTCCGGTACCACGGCGGATATAGTCCGTCCACTTTAGTAAGTAAATATGTGCATAAAACGTGGGCGCGTAAGTTAGAGCCACCAGCAGCCATGGTCAACGTTGGCCATGAAGGTGAGTATCGTCGTACCGACGTAGTAGATTAGTTGTGTGGGTGTCGAGCTTGCTGCTTTCGTCTATGGTTAAAGCAAGGGCGAGTGAAGCTCAAGATCAAAAGAAAAGAAAAACAATTATTTGAACTGAACGTGGCACACGACACGATGAGCCAGGAGCACGAGGAAGCTACGCAGCCACCACGATTCTCGGGCAGCAGCAATCATCCAGCTCGAGCGGCACCGTCCGTCTTTCCTAGAAGCCAGGGCACCCATAGAGTAATATAAAAGATCAAGAGAGGACATTTCCATAGGCCCCTAAGGCTGATTTTGGTTAGCAGTGCACCAAACGACTGTGGTGAAACTTTACAGCCTCAGAGACGACAGACCACAGAAAAAACTGTCTTGAAGGCCATTTTGTAGTGACTAGGATTGTTATACAGCCTCCGAGATCACTTTTACGCGCGTGCTCATCTCTGAGGTCATACTTTGATATTGTTTTAACGCGCCGTTCGCATGCATTAATCAGCTTGGTGCAAGCAGCACCACTAGAACAACAAGCAGACGATGCCAGTGTGTGCTTATGCACACTATCCATTAAAACATGCGAATCATTAGAGAAACTTTTATTTTCAAGTGATATTTTTGGTATGCGCATGCCCACTTTGTTGATAAACGCAGACACAAAGAGAGGTTTATTGCCCTGCGAGACGCAAAAATACAGGTGCCATATCATTATTAAAAATTACACACAAGAAATAAATATATAGGCAACAATATAACATGAACCGCAGCAGAATAAAACTGCAATAAGCGCACACAACTACACATACATTGCACAACGCGACGCGGCAGTAGTTGCCTCAGCACTTGAATCCGGCGTCAACCAAAAAACAGAAAAGAAAAATGCTGGCTACTTTTTCTTCCCCACCTTCGCACTAATTTTCTCCTGCAGACTTTACATCACACTTTTGCGAAAAACAGCCACAAGCAGTGCAAGCAGACCAAAACAGAGCAATTTTAGGTGTCATGAAAGCCGTTAATGAGGCAGGAGTGTTTGTCAAATATTATGTCCTAGCTTTAGCTAGCAAACATTTTTCTAGATTGACTACTTCTTTTATTGTGCTCGTTCGAGTTTTAAGAAACTTGCGAAAGGCACAAATCACGACACTGAACATAGTTGCCCTTTTAACAATTTCTCGCTCATGCAGTGAATTTGAATGCATGTAGTGGCACAAAGCAACCCCAATAAAGCGAGCGATGACTGAATTTCTTGAGTCAAGAAAGAATTTTCCCGCAAATGTGCTGCGAAGCATTCCACACAGTTTTCTTTCGTGTCAAGCAAATTACAAAAACAGTACAGGAAGTGAAGAGTACAAAAAGGATATCTGCGCCGAACAGCACAATGCCAGAAACGTTAGGTTTGATGGCATTTGCACTCATTAGCAGCCAAGCTGAGAGGCAGCCGAAACAAGTGAAGACCACGGCGCACGCAAGGCACTTTATCGAACATCTTTTATGTCATCTCTCTTCTGCTGCCCGTACTTCTTCATGGCCGCGAATGCTCATGAACACGGAGTGTGACAACGTTGCCGTCACGTCGACGTTATGTGCACTTCTCTCACGTACGAGTCATGCCTGATCCCAGCCTGACGTTATCGCACCGTACAATCGCAGACAATAAAGACGAGTTCGGGCCACTTTCATATACGCAAAAACCCGTAGACGTATAATGCATTAGAAAAAGATACTGTAGTAAATAACAATAGTACGCGTGGTTCCTTGAAGTTATGACCTTGAGATTACGTGTTAGCGTTCAGTAGCTTGAATTCTTGTTTTATTCTTACTTTTAAAGGTCTTCGCTCTCTGTCATCTTGCAGCTTGTACACCCAAAAGTCAAAAAAATTATTGTTCTATCGGTAATAAGGCATGAGTACATTGTTGTAAGCAGGTTCTTTGCCCATAGAAAACACTAAAAAGTTGACGGTGCAGCAGCTTGTCA